AGGGACGAGTTGCACTGAGGTCAGAAAGCTTCTCAGTGTTCCCTAATGATCCATTGCTCTGAAGAGCAGATAAGCAAATGTAATCACTGACAATATATGAGAGACCAATAGTAAGGTTTAAAGTCAAGCGATGCTTGTATGATGTTAACTGCTTGGTACCAATGAGAGATTCTTTAATGTGTAAACTATATGTGATGTCATTTGGGGTATAAGACCTTCTGCCCTTCCTGGTTATGGCAGAATACAGTTTCGGAACTGCCGAGGTGCCAAGGCATTCAGCCCTGTTTTCAATGCATTAAACAGATATTCATCTAACACGTTGGACTCCGACTATTTGGCAATGGGAGCACGCAGGCACAGAGTTGTGTATCATAAATATGCCTCAGTGATCATTAATCATTGCCAACAATAATGCCAACAAGCAATGCCAACCATTATTGTTAAGCATGATTAACAATCATTAAGTAATTACCATTCTTGTTATTACCGTGCTTACTAATAATCATTGGTGCTGCTTGAATTCCAAGGGAAAAGATGGGATATAGGTGAGATCTGGCTGTTGACTTATGAACAACAGCCCGGTAATGCCGAGTTGCAGCAGTACTGAGTTCCCCGGGGACTTAAGTTCCTCTTTGGCAAGCCAGCTTGGAGACTTTGGTATGACTGGATTTCTTCCTAAGCATTAGATGGGCTTGAAAATTATCACCAAATTGATGTTGCTGACAAAGTGCCTTTCCCTCTGCTCCCTAATCTCCCCTCCAGGAGTTGTTTGTGGAAACCATTGCAAAAGATGCCTACATCTACGCCCAGCAAGGAAAGAGGAAAACCCTGCAGAGGAAAGATCTCGGTAGGAAGTAAATCTCCCCCTTATTGGCAATGCTGTTACGGCTCTGCATGTGGCATCCTTTTAGCCAATAGGTTTTAGTAGATGACCAGTTTCCTTAATGCCTCCTGGTCTGGGGGCAGGGTTGCCAGGCAACCACCTTGACTGTCCCCTTCTGGGCTGCTGTGGTGATCATAGAGTGTACACAATTCTTAGGGCTGCTCCGACTGAATGTGTCAGCTTTAGAATTTTGATAAGCCATGTCATTTCTGTGGAAGGGGAACCTCGGGGCTGTGGGGTGGGAAGGGCTCTGCTTTTTGTGGGAATACAAGGCAGTGGTAGTGTGGTCAGGATAAGACCCCGGGATGCAGAATAGCTGCTGGAGGCATTGCACTTAAGTGAGTGGAGACTTCAAGTAAGGAGGTATGCAGAAGGTAAAGGATAGGGGTAGAAAAGAAGAAGAAGAGATTGGATTTATACCTTACCCTTCACTCAGAGTCTCAGAGCGGCTTACAAACTCCTTTCCCTTCCCCTCCCCACAACAGACATCCTGTGAGGTAGGTGGGGCTGAGAGAGCTTTGACAGAAACTGCTGTCTTTCAGGGACAGCTGGGCCAGAACTATGACTTGCCCGAGGTCATCCAGCAGCTGCAAGTGGAGGAGTGGGGAATCAAACCCGGTTCTCCTAGATTAGAGTTTGCGCACTTAACCGCTACACCAAAGGCTCAGAGAGGAGAGTCTATGAAAAAATTCTCACATGGTGCTAGAGGCATGAGGGTTTGTGTGCAGTTGAGAGCCAGTGTATGTATGTATGTATTTATCTATTCAATTTGTACCCCGCCCTCCCTGCGAACAGGCTCAGGGCGGCTCACACAGTTGGTACAAAATTACCACTAAAACTACATACAGTCAAAACAATTCAATACAAATTTAAAATCATAAGGTACTAGTGCTCATTTAGCTACTTAAGATGGCTGTAGTGTTTAAGAGCGTTGGACTAGGATCTGGGAGACCCCGGTTTGAGTCCCCTGTTTGTGTCAGGGAAGCTCGCTGGGTGACCTCAGGCCAGTCACACGCTCTCAGCCTAACCTACCTCACAAGGTTGTTGTGAGGATAAAATGGAGGAGAGGAGAATGATGTGAGCCACCTTGGTTCTCCGTTGGGGAGAAATGTGGGGTGTAAATGATTTAAATAAATAAAGTAGAAATAAGGTATCTGGCAAAATAGTTGGGTCGGGAGAAGCTGGATTCAGATTTCATATTGATTTGAACTAGGTGCCCAGAACTTCTCCCGCTACAGTCTGATTCTCCAGCAAGTTCTCCGCCTTAGCAATACCTTCATGGTGCATCAGGCAGAAAAAGACTTCTGATTCCAGCCGCCTCTGATTCCTGTTATTTTTTTCTTTTCTCTCTCTTCCCTGCTGCTTCCCATCATTTTTCCCTGTTGTAGACAATGCCATTGAAGCAGTAGATGAATTTGCCTTTCTGGAAGGTACGGTTCTGGCTCGTGTCTATTCAGCATTTTGCGTTGGGATAACAAACTGGAACAGCGCGTTGACTTGGACATCAGATTAGGGAAACCGAGGCCGCTCTTACGGTGGAGACCTTTGCTCATTAAGTTTGACTTCTAGGCCGCCCTCCCCTGAAAAACAGGGCTTGGGGCGGCGTATGACAATGATAAAATTTCAAGAGCTTTACCAATATTCAGGATTTAAAATAGTGCATAAAATACATCTCACATGAAATAGAGGGCAGTGCCCAAAATAACAGCAGTCAGGCTCAAAGAAAGTGGCACAAAGTTGACCTGGAATTGTGTTTAGTTAAACTATTTCTCTTCCATATTCACTGGAGTCTTTTAGAAGCAGCTGAAAGTTGATCTGTGTTGTTGTTTTTTTAAAGGCAGCCAGATTAATTAAAGTAGCAATTAACAATAGGCAGATCCAGTGAGAGTTGGTGTGGGGAGTTGGTGGTGGTAGACTGTGGTCTTAGGAGGCCTCTGATAATTTTTTTTTAAAAAAAACCCATCTGAAACAGCCTTTTAAAAACGAAGCAGGCTCTTGAGAGAAACTGAAGGGGAGGGGCTGGGGCTGTGGAGTAGAGCATCAGCTTGGCATGCAGAAGGTCCCAGGTTCTGTCCCCGGCATCTCCACTTAAAAGGACCAGGTAAGAGGTGATAGGAAAGACCTCTGCCTGAGATCCTGAAGAGCGACTGCTAGTCTGAGTAAACAATGCTGATCTTGATGGGACTGATGGTTTGATTCACTATAAGGCTGTTTCATGTGTGTGCAGACGTGTATGCTTGTCTGAGGAAATGCCATTTGGATTGGGGGGGGGTGATGTAAAAAGTCGATTTGAAAGGCATATTTCTTAAAAACCTAAAGTTTGCCTTTCCTGCTAGTTTCCTGCTGCCTCCTGGAAAGGCATGGGGGATGAGGGCGCTAATTCAGGCCCTTTCCCAGACATGACCTCACACATACCGGAACTCTGCAATCCCCCCCACATGCACCCACACCAAGGATAATGAACTGAAGACCTCATTTGCACATACAAGGCTAGCAGCCAGTACACTTTTAAGATAGTACAGCGGAGCACTCACCATTTCAGACTGGGGAGGGCGTGTGACTTTTTCGGATTCTCCCTGCAAGTGGAAGAACAACCCTACAAATCTGTACTACGAAAATTTGCCTTATTTTTGAAATTGAATGCATAATTGCACAGCCTTTAATTTTTGGATGCTAAATTTGCATAATAGTGCTCGTGTTGTGCAACTGATTTAAGTTACGGTGTTAGACTGTATTGGAATATAACTAAGTTTAACGTACACATTGTTATACGAGAAAAGCCTGACAAATAAAAATATTCAAGTAGAAAAACAAGGGTAGCAACAACTGGGCGGAACTGGAACGCTTCTCCTGATAGAACTGGTTTTCTGATTGCGTGGGTTTTTAAAAAATACACAGGAGCTTTCACTAAAGGCAGTTCCTGCCTGCAGTCTGAATTGGTGTCGTTCGCAGAGCCCGCTCAGAATTCAGCCCTCTCTTCCCACTGTGGGCACAACACTCAAGTCTCATGCGTTATAAAAACCAGGGACTGTGTTGATCCTTCGATCAGGCAGGCGTGTCTCAAGGTTGTGCTTTCTCTCCGGGAGCTAGGTACGCTGGACTGAAGAGGGCAATGAGGAATCTCTGGAAGGAAATAGAGCCCGGCCAAGCTCAAGAGGCGGAGGACAATACCTTTGAGAAGACGGTGGGCCCCCATCTGTCTTCCAGCCCACCGGGTCCAAAGTGGTCCTGAAATGGGGGGGGGGCCTCTCCCCATATTTCTTTGTATACCATAGTGGTTTGTATAAAGTTTATGCACTCTCAATACACACATTTTCCCTCTTGATCTTTGTGTTGTATTTTGATTTTGCATCAGAGCCGTCCTCCCCGGTCTGTGGTTCCCATCAAACGTATCAGTGGGAACCCACGAGTGCCGTATGGTCTTCTCTCTTGCCTGCTGTTTCCTAATCAGTGGGGTTGGGTGGTGCCCCCCTCCCCCAACTTCGCTGCCCACCCAAATTTGCCTCTGCATCACAGCTTGGGAGAAACGAGATTGCCAGGCTGCCAGTTTCAGATCGAGTTGCTCTATCCCTTTTAGCCCACCCCTTCGGAGAAGGTCCTGAAAGGGATAGGAGATTATCGCACTTCTGACAGCTAGAGCAGGTTCTCTCCAGGAGACCCAGTAAGAGTCGGTTCCTTTGGGCCAAGGCAAAGAGATCCCAACCCATGCTCCCTCTAAGCTGTGGAGTCTTGTGAGCAAAAATTCTACCCTGTGAGCCCCTGGCATTAAAGTTGTGAGCGAGCGATCCGGCTACTGCATAAACTAGTTTGCTCTGGAGCCATCCTTCCTGAGCTGAGACAAAAATGCATCAGCCGGAGGCTAAAAACCTGTGAGCTGGCTCACACTCAGCTTAGAGGGAACACTGATCCCAACCATTTGCAGGGTTTTACTGAAGATCCACAGTAGCACTTTGAATCAGGCTCAGAAACAAACGATACAACCAGAAAACTGTAAAACCGTACCAACACAACACTGCAAACTAACAAAGACACTAAGGTGTATTTTCTTTTCAAATGTCAACCCACTAAATATACAGTGTACTATCCAAGAATCACTCTTATCGCAATGTTACATCAAATAATCCTATGATAAAGGAAAATCAATTGAGAACGAGTTTGGTGTAGTGGTTAAGTGTGCGGACTCTAATCTGGGAGAACCAGGTTTGATTCCCCACTCCTCCATTTGCACCTGCTGGATGACCTTGGGCAAGCTGTAGTTCTGACAAGAGCTGTTCTTGAAAAAGCGCAGTTTCCGTCAGAGCCCCGCTCCTTTGTGAGCTACTGGCATTAAAGCTGTGAGCGAGCCATTTGGCTACTGCATAAATCAGTTTGCTCTGGAGCAATGCTCCCTCTAAGCCGTGGAGTCTTTTTGTGAGCTACTGGCATTAAAGCTGTGAGCGAGCCATTTGGCTACTGCATAAATCAGTTTGCTCTGGAGCCCTCCTTCCTGAGCTGAGACAAAAATCTGGGAGCCGGAGGCTAAAAAACTATGAGCCAGCTCACAGTGACTCATCTTAGAGGGGACATTGGACTTGGGACAGGGGAGCTGAGGGCAGTCACTATCCTCCCAGCCCTTTTGCCTCCAGGTCCTCTGCCTGGTGCTGATGGGCGCTTGCCCCTTGCTGCTTAGCAAGGGCTGTCCCTGCCGTTCACAGCCCTACATTTTGCTAGCTTCTTGGGCTGCACCCTGCAGAACCATTCTGCTGCCGGGCACGCTTTTCTCTGGCACAAGGAATCACCCTGACCGGTGAAAGCTCCTTGCACCCGTGACGAGCACCCCCACTAGTGGAACGGATCCACGGGGCCTGCCCCTTTCTATCCAGTCAGGTCTGAACATATTCCTTAGCCGCATTCTCCTGTTCGATGTGTAAAATCGTCGGATCGTTCCTCGCATGCCCATTTATTAAAAATCGAGAACAGCCGAGTCATTCCCACCTCCTACAACCAATGCTCCCTCTAAGCTGAGTTTGTGTGAGCTAGCTCACACAAACTCAGCTTAGAGGGAGCATTGCTCCGGAGGCATCAGTGGGGAGGCGGGCTTGGCAAAGAAGCAAAGAGGGGGGGACACAGTGTTCCCTCTGAGCTGGGTTAGTGTGAGCTAGCTCGCAGTTTTTTAGCCTCCCGCTCAGGAAGAACAGCTGCAGAGCAAACTAATTTATGCAGTAGCCAAATGGCTCGCTCACTGCTTCAATGCCAGTAGCTCACAAAATAGAACTTTTGCTCACAAGACTCTACAGCTTAGAGGGAGCATTGCTCCGGAGGCATCAGTGGGGAGGCGGGCTTGGCAAAGAAGCAAAGAGGGGGGGACACAGTGTTCCCTCTGAGCTGGGTTAGTGTGAGCTAGCTCGCAGTTTTTTAGCCTCCAGCTCAGGAAGAACAGCTGCAGAGCAAACTAATTTATGCAGTAGCCAAATGGCTCGCTCACTGCTTCAATGCCAGTAGCTCACAAAATAGAACTTTTGCTCACAAGACTCTACAGCTTAGAGGGAGCATTGCTCCAGAGCAAACTGATTTATGCAGTAGCCAAATGGCTTGCTCACAGCTTTAATGTCAGGAGCTCACCAAGTAGAATTTTTGCTCTCAAGACTCCACAGCTTAGAGGGAGCATTGCCTACAACCCACCTGCGGTTTCCAGGCTTCCCTTTTTGGACTTCTGGATGGGGTCTGGCAGTGTCGCCTGTCAGTTGCAGCTTGCCAGCGTGACCTGTTGAGAGCCAGCGTGGGGTAGCGGGTCGGGGAGACAGGTTCGAATCCCCGTTCTGCCGTCGGAGTTCTCCGGGTGACCTCGTCTCACACACCCAACCTAACCTACCTCACAGGGTTGTTCAGAGGCCAAAAATGGAGAGGAGAACAATGTTAGACTGCTTTGGGCTCCCCACTGGGAAGAAAGGTGGGGTGTAAGTGGAGTCAAATAGATAACATGCTGGTTTGCTTGCATGAAAAAGCTTTTCGATACTCGAATGCTCTTGGGACTTCTTCGAAGCTGCTTTTTACAGTTGTACAAGTTAGCTGGTGCAGCATCCTCCCGTCCCCCCCCCCTGTCCCCAGCATATTCATTCAAACTGTTTCTGAGTATAAGGAAGCAGACAGGACGGAGTAGGAAAGTCTAATGGCTGGAAGGGAAGATGTAAATGAGGATGGAAGGAGAAGTCATGAAGAAGGCCAGGAACAAAGGGAAAGTAAGACATATGAAAAGTATTTTTTTAGAGAAATAATTTTTTAAGTATATTAAAAAAACAGACATAAACATCAAGTACACACCCCACTCCCCGTATAGGAAAACAACCTGCAGTATACATATAACAACACAGAAAAGCAAAAGAGAAAAGAAAAAAAGTGAAAAACAAGCAAATTAAGGCATTGGTAGAGAGCTCAACGTTCAGCATAAACACAAAGAGAAGGAATTCCTTTCCCTTTTTTCTTTTCCTATAAACATGCATAATTAATGTATAGTTTACAACATGATTGAAGTATAAGGTAAAGGTTCCCTTGCTCAAAAGCCAGTCAAATCCGACCCTAGGGTTGCGGTGCTCATCTCCGTTTCAAAGCCGAAGAGCCAGCGCTGTCCGAAGACATTTCCGTGGTCATGTGGCTGGCATGACTAAACACCAAGGTGCATGGAACGCTGTTACCTTCCCACCAAAGCGGTACCTATTTATCTACTTGCAATTTCTTGCTTTCGAACTGCTAGGTTGGCAGGAGCTGGAACTAGAGACGGGAGCTCACTCCGTCATGCGGCACACTCGGGTCTCGAACTGCTGAACTACTGACCTTCCACAGCCTGCAGTTCAGCATCTTAACCACTTGAGCCACCGCAGCTCAATGGGACTTACTCCCAAAGAGTGCCATATTCACAGTGTCTTGATGATATCTTTCCAGACCCATCAGTGCTCCCCTTTTAATTATTTTTTTTCCTTATCAAAGAGATGGTTTCAGCCTGATAGGGCCTAGGGAGCCAAACGCAGTTATCTCTTCCATGTATGTTTTGTTAAAGGAAGGGGGATGGGACCAGGGGCTCAAAGCATTAATGAGCCACTTGAAAGCAACTTGCCCGGACTGTGAACTTAATTAAGCTTCAAGTGTTGGTTAACAAAGCAAAGAGAGATACACCCCCCCCCCAAGCAACACACAGGCAGCCGTCTTTCTTCTAAAGAAGGCTTTGAAGTTTGGAAGGGCCCCTTCGTCCAGACAAGGTGCCGTGGAGGAGACAACTTGGCAGCAATATGCGAAGGGCCATTTGGTTTCTTGGCAGTCCGCTCGGGGTATAAGTAGCCAAGCGGAGCCCCTGAATTTGCGGCAAAGGAGCTCCAGGTATGATGCTGCTCTTCTGGCTTTTCTGGATCTCCGCTTTTCACGGTAAGGTTTCTTGCCTTTGTGATCCATGCGCAGTGAAGGGCTTCCCAAAGGATGCTGGCGCGCCACTGAGGCAGCTGCATTTGACACGAGACGGAAAGGGTGGCGGCAGGAATGTAAAATGGGAGGTTCCTTCAGCTCAGGTCCGGAATCAGATGAGAACTGCAAAGTGAACAGGGGTAAGTGAAATCAAGAGAGCTGGAGGAGCTCCCCTGCAAAATGATGGATCAGATTATTTATTTTTAATGTGTCTTATGCTGCCTCTTCCCAGTGCCTCTTGGAAGTTTCCCAAGGATTCTCCCACTGTGAATATTCACTGCCTTTCTTAGCAGTAGCAGAGTTCATCTATTGCAGCCAAGTCAACAAAACCTCTAGTGGCATCTTAAGGACTAGCCACTTGATTACGGTAAAAGGTAAAAGGCACTCTAGTGGCTCAGCTCCTGAGATGCGTTTCTTTCTTTCTTTCTTTCTTTCTTTCTTTCTTTCTTTCTTTCTTTCTTTCTTTCTTTCTCTCTCTCTCTCTCCCCCCCTCCCTCCCTCCTGAAGGGACGAAAGGGGGCTGCTTGGTGTGGCAAACATATCTTAAGCACCGGATTTGGGGAAAGGGGCAGAGTCTGCATGCCAGAGAGACCAAGTCGCCAGGAGTCAGGAGGGCTTCCTCCGCGCCAGTCTCCGGGGCTTCAGGGAGGCAGCTGAGTTTACCCAATTTCTTTCTTTCTTTCTTTCTTTCTTTCGTCTCACCCTACCTGCTATATCTTTTAGAGTGCAAGGACAAAGTCTGTCTACATATGGTATCTGGCAATACCTCCCTAAAACCACCACTGATGGCAGAACACGAAAGCGTGCAAGCACGTACGCTCTGCGATGATGTGGGGCTGTTAAACATGACAGATACTTCGCAGTAGAGCCCGTGTCAAAAGTCCCCAACCTGCTTGGGGAGCATCTGCTGGCTGCGCGTTCCCTAAGTTCTTGCCTTTCAATGTCAAGAAATCTATGTTTAATAATAGCATAGGCTTGTTTAGGGAAGCTAGTATCAACTCTAAAAAGAACCCTGCATGATCAGAACAAAGATTTGTGTGGTCTCACGTCCTGTCTGTAACCTGCCAGCCAGGAAGATGGTGACCCCTCCCCTTTGGAATAAACTGGTACTCAGAGGTATGCTGCCTCTGGATATGGAAGCTCCATTTGGGCATCATAATCACTAATCCTCCATGAGTTTATCTTTGAAAGCCATCTGTGCCGATAGCCATCGCTACATCTTGTGGCAGAGAGTCCCAAATGGGAATCATGCCTTGTGTGAAGAACTATTTCCTCTTGTCTCTCCTGCCAATCGCTTGCATTGGCTGACCCTGAATTCTAGAAGATAAAAATAGGGCCAAGGCCGATGGTGCAAAACCAGGTAACAATATATTTTATTACTCAATTACATTTCCAGAAATTCACTCTGCTTTTCGCCAACAGGCTTCATCAAAACGCATAGGGAATTTTTGGAAATCTGAGTAATTAAGTATATTTTTACCTGATTTTTGCACCATTGGCCTTGGTCCTATTTTTATCTCATGTGAGTGGTGCAGCTCTTTATTTTCTTCACCCTAAATTATAGTCATACGGGGAGGTGGGGGGGGGAATGAATGATTTCTCACTGTGCTCTCCGTACTGTGCTTAATTTTATGAACCTCTTACTGTATGTGTGTGTCTTTGACATTCCCTGAAATGTACCCAGCACTGTGAGCACTGAAATCTGTCCCCCTCCCCCAGGCGTGGGATCTGCCAGTCGATCACACGAAGGGCGGAACCTCTTTGCCCAGCGAGGATGCTGCAAGCGCCAAACAAAGTACGTCTGCATTGGACAAGGTGAGTCGAGACGGGACACCAGATTCACACAGGAACGCCAAAAGCCTGCATGTGTGTGCATGCAGGAGAGGAAGAGCCCCCCCCCAATTACATTTGCGTTGCAAGATACGCAGAACACTAAATCTCCTTAAGAATCTCTGTGTTAAAAAAGAAAAAGAATCTCTGTGTGAAGTCGGCCTAGTTTGACGTAGTGGTGAAAAGCAGCAGGACTCTAATCTGGAGAACCGGGTTTGATTCCCCACTCCTCCACATGAAGCCAGCTGGGTGACCTTGGGTCAGTCACAAGTTCTCTCAGAGCTCTCTCAGCCCCACCAACCTCACAGGGTGACTGTTGTGGAAAGAGGAAAAGAAAGGCGATATCGCTTTGAGACTCCTTTGGGTAGTGAAGGCCAGGGTATAAAAACTCTTCTTCTCCTCCTCCTCCTCCTCTTCTTCTTTTAGGCTGCCCTCCCCTATAAAACAGGCCTCAGGGCAGCATACACAGGTCATTTCGTAGAAAAAGAGGTGCAGGAGCTTATTAGCATAACTCATTAGCATAACTTATTTGCATATGCCACACCCCCTGACGTCACCGGAAGTGTGTCAGAAGCAGGGGTCATTTCGTAGAAAAAGAGCTAGGGGGACTCATTAGCATAACTCATTATCATATGCCACACCCCCTGACATCAGGGGCCCAGCGGTGGACCTGCAAGGCCAGCGGGAGTGAGAGGAAGCCCCGCCAAGGCCCACCCTGGCCCCAGGCAGGCAGGGGTGGGGAGAGGCGGGGAGGAAGCAACTTACCCTCCCTCTTCTCCTGCCTCCTCCTGGCTGAATGAGGGCTGGAAGCAGGGGGCGGGGCTTCGTCATGTGCTCCGCCCCCTGCACCTCACCCGGGGGAACTGCGTTCCCCCGCGTTCCCCTCCGAAATGACCTCTGGTCAGAAGGCAACACCCACCGCTCAGGCGTCACTGGACTGTTTTGGATTGCTAGCTGTCTGGTGTAAAACGTTCTGGGGTAATAATTAATTGGTACGAAACAAGCTAGATCAAGGGGCTTTTGAAGCAGGAATCGCTGCCCTTTCATTGCAAAGGTTGTGCTTCTAACGTTACCAACACTGAGTCGGGAAATTCCTAGAGATTTGGGAGTGGAGCCGGGGAGGGCGCAGTTTGGGAACTGGAGGAGCCTCAGCGGGGTACGAGGCCACAGAGTGCAGTTTTGCTTGCCAGACTCCAAGGATAGAATTTATTTGTTTTCAGAGAAGCCAAGGATGCATCTTCAATTGATGTCCTTCTTTTCTTCTCCTGACCTGTATGGGACACCTAACTGTTCCCCAGTCTCCTGACCCTCTGTAGATCTCACCCTTCCTGTAATCAACCCATGTATGAAATCCTCTCTCTCACCCAAATGATGGTATATAGGGGAAAACAAGGAATCAGCCGGGTTAGGAATATTAGGTTTACTATTTCCAGAAATCAACCCTGACTGTTCCCTGGAAGGCCAGATAATGAAACTGAAGCTCAAATACTTTGGCCACCCAATGAGAAGGGAGCACTCCCTGGAGAAGACCCTGATGCTGGGAAAGACTGAAGGTCAAAGAAGACGGGGACGGCAAAGGATAAGATGGTCAGTCACTGTCACCGATGCAGTGAACATGAAATTGAGCAAACTTCAGAGGACGGCGGAAGTCAGGAGGGCCTGGCGTGAGGTGGTCCATGGGGTCGCGAAGAGTCGGACTCGACTGTGCGACTGAACAACAAAATTTCCCCCACTTGCAGTGGAAGAGGACTGGGCCTTCAAGAGAAAGTCTAGGTCCAATCCAATGTTCCCTCTAAGCTGTGGAGTCTTGTGAGCAAAAATTGCTGCTGGCATTAAAGCTGTGAGCAAGTTGATTTGGCTACTGTATAAATTAGTCTGCTCTGGAGCCCTCCTTCCTGAGCTAAGACAAAAATGTGGGAGCCAGAGGCTAAAAATCTGTGAGCTAGCTCACACTAACTCAGCTTAGAGGGAACACTGGTCCAATCCTGAGTGTTTTCCGTGTCCGTACCCTGTCTTTTTAAGAAGAAATGGTTGTGGGGCTTATCTCTGTCAATCTTATCTCTCTGAGGCCCTGGAGGAAGCAGGGAGAGAGGGTCCTTTTTTGACAGCGTCTCTGAGCTTTGCCAAAATTACAAACTTGCTTTTTGGGTTTCATCTCCACCCCCACCCCCAGACATCTCTGGTAGTCCAGCAAGCATCGATGTCGGCGTGTGCAGGACCCATTGTGGGGGTCCCCAGAGGATGACGTCCTACATTGCAGGGGTCCTTGGCCTCTCCAGGCAATTCTCGATGCTGGAGTTCCTTCAAACCAAGAAGGTAAGGACAACAGGATCTGCTAGCAGACGTAACCCACAGCTGGAATATCATTCTCTTGGCGGCACGGTGGAGAAAGGTTGAGGGTAGGATGCAGGAGAGTCAGGTTTTGAAATCCTTTTTGCTCTCTGAAACTCCTAACAGGAGTGAGGGCCGGATCCACATTTCCTTCCTTCCTTCCTTCCTTCCTTCCTTCCTTCCTTCCTTCCTTCCTTCCTTCCTTCCTCCCTCCCTCCCTCCCTCCCTCCCTCCCTTCTTTCTTTTTTTCTTTCTTTCTTTCTTTCTTTCTTCCTTCCTTCCTTCCTTCCTTCCTTCCTTCCTTCCTTTAATTTGTACCCCGCCCTCCCCACCAAGGCAGGCTCAGGGCAACTTACAGACAATATGTTAAAACAGTTAAAACTCCATATTTAAATAAAATCACAAACAATACAGAATAAAACATTTCATAGAGTGTTACTATAATTCATAACTGATGGCGGCGATTGCAGCATCCATGTAATCAGCTATCTCTGTAGTCTGATTTCATAAAGTGCCAGTATAATTCATATCCGATGGCGCCGATTGCAGCATCCTTATAATCAACTACCTCCGTAGTCTGGGTTTTGTCAGGCTATTGGTCATATCTTAAGTTGGTGTTGGCATTGCGGACAGGGCCTAGTTGTTAGAAGGGTGGCCCCTAATCGAAGGCCTGGTGGAAGAGCTCTGTTTTACAGGCCCTGTGGAACTGTAATAGGTCCCACAGGGCCCTGATGTCATCCGGGAGCCCATTCCACCAGTAAGGGGCCGCCACAGAGAAGGCCCTGGCCCCTCGTTGCAGATAGTCTGACTTCTTTTGGGCCTGGAAGGGCCAGATGATTTTGGGATCCTGATCTTAGGGCTCTCTGGGGAACATGTGGGGAAAGGCGGTTCCTTAGGTAGATAGGTCCCTGGCCATATAGGGCTTTAAAGGTCATTTCCTCCATTTCCAAATTCGGTATGCTATAGTATGCTATAGTTCGCCATCTGCACTTTATCGTTTGTATTTTATCTGCACTTTATATTTTCTTGTTAGAATTTTATCTGTTTTAATTGTAAATTATTATTGTACGCCACCTTGAGCCTGCTTGTCAGGCAAGGCGGGATAGAAATCGAAATAAATAAATTTCAGGTAGGAAACAGATGAGGCATGGGGTGGAACGCTGAAATCACTATGGATCATCTACTAAAATTATCTGACAGTAGATTTAGATTGTGGAACTCAGTGCTGGAAGAAACAGCAATAGTTGTTAGTCTGGATGTATTTGAAAGAGGAAATACACAAATTCATGGAGGAGGAAGAGGACCCTGAAGCTATTCCTTTCCCTTCCTTTTATCCAATGAAAGCTCTATGATGCATTGATCTTGAATTGTGAATAGTTGTTATGGGTCATTTATCACCCGGTAACTTTCTCCTGCCAACCCAAGCAACCTAAGCAAGATATTGCAAGTAGATAAATAGGTACTGCTTTGGTGGGAAGGTAACAGCATTCCGTGTGCCTTGGTGTTTAATCATGCTGGCCACATGACCATGAAAACGTCTTCGGACAGTGCTGGCTCTTCGGTGTGGAAACGGAGATGAGCACCACAACGCTAGAGTTGGATTCGACTGGCTTTCGAGCAAGGGAAACCTTTATCTTTACCTAGACAAAAGGAGTAAAAAAAATTGCAACTGCTAGAGGTATTTTGGATCCCTGTCAGCAAGTAAATATGTAACTAGGTCATCAGAATGAGCCTGCAAACACAGTGAAATATAACACCTCCTGAGGTTAGCATACAAAGGACACTCCCGAAGGATATGTGCAATTGTGTCAATCTCACCTAAAGAACGGGCAGACACCTTCAGAATAAAGTAAGCACCAATGCTTCCTCTAAGCTGTGGAGTCTTGTGAGCAAAAATTCTACTTTGTGAGCTACTGGCATGAAAATGGTGAGCGAGTGATTTGGCTACTGAGGTTTCAAGCCCCGATTTCCGCTCCCGCGGAATCGGGGCCCGGGGGAAACCCCACCCCCGCAAGCGCGTCACCAGGAAGTGACGTCAGACGCTGGGGCGGGGCCGCGCCATTTGAGGGGAAAACAAAGAGTTTTCCCCTCAAACGGCAGCCATTTAAGGGGAAAACTCTTTGTTTTCCCCTCAAATGGCGTGGCCCCGCCCCCAGCGTGCGACGTCACTTCCGGGTGACACACACGCGGGGGTGGGGTTTCCCCCGGGCCCCGATTCCGCGGGAGCGGAAACCGGGGCTCGAAAGTGGGGGGAATTCAGCCCCCCAGGGGAATTTGGCAGCCCTAGTGAGCCGGAGGCTAAAAAACTGTGAGCCAGCTCACACTAACCCAGTTTAAAGGGAACACTGGAACCTACCCCTCATAACTGCTGAGGAGCGAGCATTTAGTCTGGCCAGAATGAACGCCCATTCTGTAGCTATTAGCCGTAGAGCTTCCATGTTCAGGGGCAGTCTACCTCTGAACAGCAGGTGCTGGGGGGCAAATGAAAGGGGAGGCTGTGGCCTTCATGCCTCTCTTGTTGGCTCCCTGAAAATATCTGGCCAGTATCCTTTGGAAACAAAACGCTGGAATAAGGGGCAAATTAAGGCTCACCGGTGCCCTCAGCACTGACCAATCTTGGTGCCCTCCCTCCTTTCCACACTGACCCCCAGTCCATTTCAGTTGTTGACCTGTCTGACCAGGTATACAATGCAGGTTACAGCAATACAAAAATTTATTCCTATGATAACACAATATCCTGTACAAACGAAGCCAAGCTTGGGCTACATAAAGTTCTTTTCACCCTTTCCCCAACTTTGTGGTGCCCCCTTTGGCCCTGGTGCCCTAAGCACGTGCTCGGTCTGCTTCATGGTTAATCCGCCCCTGGCTGGAATAGACGGGCCCTTATTGTCGTCCCCTTGGACCTGTCCTAGCTTTTTATTCGGAGAGGCTCTTATTAAATACCTGGTGTCATAGATGCTACTCCGAGTTTGCAGAATGGCTGTTTTCTCCGAAGAACACTGCTGGATCGGAGCACTGACCCATCTAGACCAGCATCCTGTTCCACACAGTGACGAATCAGATTCCCTGGAGGGACAATCGACAAGGCATACCTGACCTGAAGAGCCCGGGCAAGCCCCATCTCATCAGATCTCGGAAGCTAAGCAGGGCCGACTCTGGCAAGTATTTGGATGGGAGACCTCCAAGGAATGCCAGGGCCGGGACGCAGAGGCAGGCAATATCAAACCGCCTCTCTGACATGTTTTATGCTCCAGTAGGGGTCGCCAGAAGTCACTATGACTTCCAGGCACGCAAGCTCATGCGCATGCACGTACGCAAAGATACCAAAACACACACACACACAAAACAACAGGGCATAGAGGCCAAGGCCCTCCCCTAGCACTGGGTTTCAGAGGTTTGCTGGCACTGAATATGGAGGTTCCCTTTGCTTACCATGGCTACAGGCAGTGTTCCCGCTAAGCTGAGTTAGTGTGAGGTAGCTCACAGTTTTTTAGCCTCCAGCTCATACATTTCTGTCTTAGCTCAGGAAGGATGGCTCCAGAGCAAACTAATCTGTGCAGTAGCCAGATCGCTTGCTCACAACTTTAATGCCAGTAGCTCACAAAGTAGAATTTTTGCTCATAAGACTCCACAGCTTAGAGGGAGCATTGGCTACAGTCACAGGAATGTTTGATGGAGCTCCCATTTGGATAACGGCCACTAATAAGGACGTGGAAAGAATTCAGTCTAATTTTCTTCGCAAGATTTTGGGCCTGCCCCTCAGACGTGGCTATGTGTTTAGAAACAAACGAAAGACTCCTTGAAACTAGAGTATGGATTATTGCCATTAGATTCTGGTTACACCTACTTTTTAAAAGAGATGACAATAGTCTTATTGCTCACATGTTAATGGAGTCCCAGTCTTCTATGTGGCTTTGTCATATCGAAGAAAAAACCCAATTCAGTTGGGCTTAATATTGGAGATCTATCTCTGCATACAGAAAAGTCAGCTTTTAGGCTGATTAGGCAAAGACTGGTTGACATTGAGAGGCAGGTTCTTGAGAGCCTTGCAGACGCTCACCCCTTAATTTAGGGTTTTTACCTTTTGGGCATAGGGCTGAATATCTAACCTGTTTAACGATCCCGGGGCAACGCAGAGCATATATGTTACCCAGATTTAATGTGTTGCCATCAGCAGTATTATATGGGAGACTCCAAAAAAAACCATTCAACAGTAGATCGTGTTCCTGCTGTAAGCAGGAGATAGAAACTTTTGAACATGCGTTTCTTTCATGTACTTTTTACTTGGACTCGCACCTTATATTTATTGAGCCCCGGTTGAGAAAGTATTCAGGGAAACCTGATCAATGTAAGATTTATTTTTTGCTGACGACAACCCAGAATAATGTAATAATTGAAACGGTTGCAAAATTTCTGTATGAAGCTTCAAGAAGGCATCGGGTATTCTTTGCAAAGTGAGTCGTATGTTCTGTATGTTATGCCAATAAAGGTTGATTCATCCAAGTCACATTCCATTCGACAGTAGATTGTGTTCCTGCTGTAAGCAGGAGTAAGAAACTTTTGAACATGCGTTTCTTTCATGTACTTTTTACTTGGACTCGCGCCTTATATTTATTGAGCCCCGGTTCAATGTAAGATTTATTTTTTGCTGACGACAACCCAGAATCATGTAATAATTGAAACGGTTGCAAAATTTCTGTATGAAGCTTCAAGAAGGCATCGGGTATTCTTTGCAAAGTGAGTCGTATGTTCTGTATGTTATGCCAATAAAGGTTGATTCATTCAAGTCACATTCCCCACCTCGTTTCTTCCTCTCTAACAACATGCAGCTTCAGGACAGGTTCTCGGAACCGCCACCATCTAACGAAGCCGACCGTTCCTGCCCGCTGGACCACCACTGTGAGCCCAGTAGCGTCCGGGTGGAGAACGTGCTTCTTCTCACGGGCATCCGGCAAGTGGAGGTGATCGAGGGCTGCCACTGCGCTCCGAGTCCAGCGGAGTGTCTCCGGTTGCCGTCCCTTAAAACCTTCTTCCCGGACTCCCCTCTAGAGAAGACCATCGATGTCGGCAAGTGCTCCGTCCCACTGCATTCTGAAGGTACCCAAACAAGAGGAGACCTGACTAGGTGGCATTTTGTCAGGCGCGGGGAAATGTTCGCAAACAAGAGCGCAAGGAGGGTGCTGGGATCGGTTTCACGACTGCCTTGGCTTATTGGGGGTTGGGGTTGGGCTTGGTCTTCTGTGGCCTTGCAGGATGCCGCCATTTGGCCCTTCTCATTACGCCCTCTTGGAGAGCCAATTTGGTGTCGCGGTGAAGAGCGCGGACTCTAATCTGGGAGAACCGGGTTGGATTCCCCACTCCTTTACATGCAGCTGCTGGGTGACCTTGATTCAGTCACACGTTCTCTCTGAGCTGTTCTCTCAAGGACAGTCCTCAAAAGGCCACTCTCAGCCCCACCTACGCCACAGGGTGTCTGTTGTGGGGAGGGGAAGGGAAAGGAGTTTGTGAGGCGCTCTGAGACTCCTTTGGGTAGTGAAGGGCAGAGTATAAATCCAATCTCTTCTTCTTCTTTTACCTCTGTTGTGGGGAGGGGAAGGGAAAGGAGTTTGTAAGCCGCTCTAAGACTCCTTTGGGTAGTGAAGGGCGGGGTATAAATCCAATCTCTTCTTCTCTCGCAGCCCCACCTCCCTCACAGGGTGTCTGTTGTGGGGAGGGGAAGGGAAAGGAGTTTGTAAGCCGCTCTGAGACCCCTTTGGGTAGTGAAGGGAGGGGTATAAATCCAATCTCTTCTCTTCTTCTTGGTGCCACAGAGATCTTGCCTCCTTCTAGCGAGTGGTCTCTGCAGGGTATTCCTGGCATGTGGGGCAACAAAGAAACATGTCTACCCACAAGGAACCTAGAATGAGGGTTGCCACCTCCAGGTAGATAAATTCCTGAAGATTTGGGGGGTGGGTCCTGAGGAGGGCGGGGTTTGGGGAGGGGAGGGACCCCGGCGGGGTACAGGGCCATAGAGCCCACCCTCCAACGCAGCCATTTTCTCCAGGGAGACTGATCTTAGTCAGCTGGAGACTGGGATGCCAGCCTCCAGGTGGGACCTGGGGACTTCCCAGGATTACAGCCCATCTACAGACCAGTGTTCCCTCTAAACTAAGTTAGTGTGAGGTAGCTCACAATTTTTTAGCCTCTGACTCACATATTTTTGTCTTCGCTCAGGATGGATGGCTTCAAAGCAAACTGATTTATGCAGTAGCCAAATAACTTGCTCACAACTTAAATGCCAGGAGCTCACAAAGTTGAATTTTTGCTCACAAGACTCCACAGCTTAGAGGGAGCACTGCTACAGACTACAGAGATCAGCTGAATGGCTTATAAGTACATGGCTTCTTTATGGAGGTGTTAAGGAATGGACGCAAAGCTCCTGAATCCTACTCAGTGTAGCTTTTCCAGCTACGGATTACCCAGCCGGACTCAACCGAAGGGTTACAGAAGTTTCTGCTGGTTAAGAGGACATTGCCAATTTTGTTTCTGGGAAACCGAGGGAAGCTAGTCTCCAGGTGGGGCCTGGGGATCCCCTGGAATTACAGCTCATCTCCAGACTACAGAGGTCAGTTCCCCCTGGAGGAAACTGATGTTTCGTAGGGTGGACTCCAGTCCTCCCCAGGCTGCACCCCCTCCCCCGACCTCCAGGAGTTTCCCAACCTTGATCTGGCAGCTGTACCCCCCCCAAATCCCCCACCACTGGCTTCCTGGGATCGGGAAACTCTAGCTGGAGATCTGGCAAGTGGCAACCAATGCTCCCTCTAAGCGGTGGAGTCTTGTGAGCAAAAATTCTACTTTGCAAGGTACTGGCATTAAGGTTGTGAGTGAGCAAGGGTCATTTCCTGCGGGAGCGTACAGGAGCGGAGCTCCAGCAGTAAGGAGCCCAGGGGGCGGGCACATGCAACAAGCCCCACTTCCTGCTTCCAGGAGCCCTCAGTCGGGTCACGAGGAGCAAGAAGCAGCCAGGTAAGTTGCAGAGGCCCCCCCTGGCCCGCCTTCAGGTACCAGCTCTCCCTCCTCTGTGAGGACAGATCTGCAC